TTTTCTTTTTTCTTTTTTGACAAATAAAAGATCTGTGATAAGTCAGGATTTGTATTGATTCTGTTTCTTTTAAATGTTTTGTAATAAATTGTATAGGTTTGTGTTTGTTTGAATGTCGATTTAAATTTGGTTCAAAACAAAAATGGAATATTCTGTCGTCATATCATGTTGTTCCAAACATCTGACTTTTCTTCTGATGGAACACAAAAAGGAAATTTCAAAGAATATCTAGTTTGGTATTTTCTGTGTATTTTAGGGTGACCATACGTGCCATTTTCCCAGGACGCGTCCTGGCCAGGATTTCTATATTGCCTAAAATATCTAGGTTTTGGCTTTGTTTGCGTGTGCAGACCGATCGGTGTATGACATCAAAGTTACCATATAGACGGTTATGCTTTCGAAACGCTCTCGAGGTACTTTGATGTCAAACACTGATCGGTCTGAGCCGCACTGCTTTTAAGTCGAAAACACCTAATATGTACGCGTAATTGCATCGCTTTGACCGTAAATCCCACCTTCTCACACGCCATGATTGGTCCATTATGTACAATGCTTGCATGTTATTGGTCAAACTACTTTTCGATCATTACCTTCAGCAAGCATGGAAACAGGAAAACAAAGCCAAAACAAATCCTGGCCAGGACGTGTCCTGGGAAAATGGCACGTATGGTCACCCTAGTGTATTTAATGATGGTGCATTGAAGTTGTTAAACTTCAAAAACAAAACAAAAAAACATCTCTGTAAGTGGCTCGGTCGTTATTTTTAACTGAAAATTAAGAGATTATCAGTGAATAAATTAAGAATAACTTTATACAAGTGGAAATACACAAGCAAAAAATTGCAAAAATCTTTTGTCTGAATTATCCAAGAAACTTGAATATTAATTGTACTGGCAAAGGCAACCTCTAATGGTCTTAAGGAGTTCCACCATTCTCTTTAAATGGGTTTAAGCTGCATCTTGTCTTTTCAAATACTGTACTTGGTACAGTCTTTTATTTATGGTTCGTTGTGGTTGGAATATATCGGTTTGATCGTGAAGTTTAGTTTGGAAGAAGCGCTTAAAATGGATACTAATAGACCAATTCAGAGTAGACGTCACAGTTACGTCACTTGCAGCTGCGCGCGCACAGTGGTTGCAGAAAAACACTGGAAACAAGTGGAGATAAATGGGTAAAATCCATGGAATAAAAGAAAAAAATATTTTTGTGCCTTTTGATGTCAAGATTGGAATGCAAATAATTTTTATAGAATACTGTCGTCAAAGACCCCATTTGAAGCTAAACGCAGACGTTTAAATGGACATACTATGGATGAAAACTGCTATGATTACTCTACTTTTAAAGCATAAATTCGATTTAAACAATAGGTCTACATAATATTCACATATGCTGTTCATAGGGGACGTATTGTATTAGCCCTACAGTTACAGCATGAAATATTATTTAAACCTTACTACGGTATTAACATTTTTACATAACATTTATTTATTTTATCTCACAATTCTGACTTTTTTCTCGCAAATGCAAGTTTATATCTCCTAATTCGGACTTTATAACTCGACTTAACTCAAAAATAGTGAGTTTGTCAAATCTGAGGGAAAAAAGCCAGAAGAGCCGAGGGGAAAAGAGAGAATGACGAGGTTTTTTTCCTTATTAGAATTTTGAAATATAAAATCAAATTTACCTTTTTTTTATTCTTGTATTGCATGGCTCCATAGACTGCCACTTGAAAACCGTCATTTTCTGCCTCCAGATAGGCTCCGCCCACAAAAACCGTCATCCCTGTTTCGGATCTGTAAGACTATCCCACTCTCTAACGTCAATTTCGTTGAATAACAGTGCTTATCGCTGGGTGACAAGCACTTGTAATATGCGGAAAACATTTTGAAAATGACGTCTAATCAATATAATTTATAATCTTTTAAACCTAACTATTTTGTACCCTATCCGTGAAATTCTCTAGCCGTAAAGGCCATCTCTCCCGGGTTTTCTGCAACCATGATGCGCGCGCATCCTGAATGTTTACAAACCTATAATTGGTCTATTGCGTCACGTGACTTCAGGTGTGTCGGTTTGAGGAAGTGCAGGTAGAGACTCTACCAAACTTTGGCGGGGTCATAGGTTGCTTTTTTTCGTTCAACAAAAGTAACGTTAAACACAAAACGATTCTGCAGACCCTCCTGTTTGAAACAACAGGAAGGAAGACTGGAACCGGAAAAGCTGGATGAAGTCTGTAATTAACGTCCAGGGAGAGCGTCTTTAAGTCTGTAGTGGTCACACAACTATCTTTTGTTTATCTCATATATATTTTTAAAATATATTCTTTATTTCGTTTTTATTAATTTTGAAACCTCCAACATTAATGAGCACTGATCTACGCGCGCTCTCAGAGAAATCTCCTGTAAGTTATTTGCGTGAGAGGTGGTGGATCAGAAGAAATGGGTAAGTTGTAGTCATATTGTCTACATATATTCAAAATAGTCTCGGGCATAAAATACACAAAATTTAGCTCCGTTTAATAACTTTTAAACATTTATAGAAAGCACGTGCTCGGTGGACTACAACATAAAAAAAAAACTTGTTCATTTCGGCTTACAAAAACAAACAATATATTAATCATTCTTCCATGAGGATTATTTTCATAAGATTGTTTCTAAAATGAAAAGCATATAGCCGGTGGTAAGCTCGTAAAAAATTCCATACAGGACACGTTTATGCAGGAAGAGCCAACAGCTCCGGAAGGAGAGCGAGAGAGAAAACATGAGAAGCTAAAATCTAAATGCTTTGTACTATATTTTAGTTTTATTTTAAGTTTTATTTTGTTTCGCTAATTGTCAAGAATATTAATAACTTTTATATCAATGAAAGACCTTTTTGATTTGCATTTTTAAGAAATGGGCGATAATGACGGAGAAGAGCAAGACACTTTTCGCGTGCAGAGCGATGAAGAAGGTGATAATCGAGGAAATATCAAGAGCAGAGGTCGGAGGGTCGAGAAGTTTCAGAAGAATGTTTCTAGATGGATGCTTCCCGAGGAGTTGCGGGAGACGTATTTGGAGCGAGCGAACTGCTGTCCGCCACCAATCTTCATCATCCTCGTCAGTTTAGTGGAGGTGCGATCAAATGTTTGCTGCAAAACATCAACCTTTGCACCAGTGGAATTTAATCTTTTTGGGTATCTGATAAATTGAACTGTTTCTACTGTCGCCACAGTTACTGTCTTTTAAGCCTCAACAGCTTAAACCAGTCAAAGTTTGCTGGTCTTAGCTGGTCTCCAATCTTGTCTTCAGCTGGTTTATCTAATTTCTTAGTCGAACAAGCTGAAAACCCCTTTAAAACCAGCCAACAGATCAGACTTTCAAGCCAGATATAAGGCTGGCAAACAATTTTAGACTGGTTTAAGCTGTTTTTGTTCAAAAGGGTAATATATATAAATGTTGTAATATACGATATGTAATAATATAAATGTTTGTTCATTGTAAAAACTGTTTGCAGCAACCAGTACGTTTCCATAATTTGTGAATGTTTTTGTTGGGATGCCTCACTATGAAAGAACTGAGATTCTTTTGAGCTTAGCTTTCCGCTTTTCCATTCCTGTTTTGGCAAGCCTTAGCCACAGTGTTTAAAAAGCCGGATTCATCCTTGTTTCCATGGACATTCCTCAAAATAGACCTCTAGTCACTGATGATCAGTCTCTTGAAAATGAAGAAACTTATGAGACCTTCCATTGGAAAAAGTAATTTTTTTTTCTTTAATAGAAATCATATTTGTTATACTTTACAAATCATTAATTTTACTTATTTTCTACTAACATGATGTACTTGAATATAAGTTAAACACTGCTGAGCCATCTGCTACAGTAGAAACAAATGACTTTTTAGATGTTGACACACAGGGTTTGGACAGTGCTTTGTGGCAACTGGAATAATGCAGTTACAAACTTGTCCCGTGTCTATTTTCATTTGACAGTTGGGAGTGTTTATCTACTATGCAGTATGGAAGCCTCAAAAGCAGTGGGTAACTCTGGGAATAGGGATCTGGGAGAGTCCTCTTACCTATAAGCCTGAACAGCGTGAGGAGGCTTGGCGGTTTCTATCCTACATGTTTGTACATGCCGGGTAAGGGGATTTTGCTGCCTTTCTTCAGTTCTATTTTAAAATGACTCTATTTTGAGACAATTATGGTTGTACATAAAAGTGCTCAAAAAAAAAAAAGAAAGAACTATTTAGTTCCTTTCAGTGACATAATTAAACTCATGTTACACTGTAGAATGACATATCAACTGATTACTGGATCTGACATCCAAGTCGGTTCCTTATTGGTAACTTTTTAATATATCTGTCTGACCATTTTTCTTGGTTTAGTGTGGAGCATATCTTGGGAAACCTGATAATGCAGCTTTTTTTGGGCATTCCTCTGGAGCTGGTGCATAAGGGCTTTGAAGTTGGCATGGTCTATATGGCTGGGGTCCTTGCAGGTGGGTTTTTGTGCATTTCGGTAGTTTATATTGGGAATAGGATACAGTATCAGAGTTCACTATATAGGATATGGTATATAATATCACATTAAAAAAGTTATATATTTAATATTTTTAATAATTTAATAAAATATATATTTTTAAAGACGTCTCCTATGTTCCTCAATGCTGCATTTATTTGTTCAAAAATACAGTTGAAACTATTTGGTCTTCAGTGTCACATGGTCCTTCAGAAATCATTCTAATATTTGATGCTCATCAATGTTGCAAACAGTAATTCAATAATTCAGGATTCTTTGATGAATAGAAAGTTCATAGCATTTATTTAAAAAATAGAAATCTTTTAGAAATGTTTGACGTCTTAACTGTCACGTCTGATTTATATATTATATATTTGGCTTCATGCATTTCAGTCTTTAGCTCGGGCTTCTCTTCATATTCTTATGGAATGTGTATGTATGAATCCTCTTTTAGGCTCTCTCGCCAGCTCCATCTTTGATCCTTACAGTGCTCTTGTGGGCGCTTCGGGTGGTGTTTATGCCCTCATGGGAGGTTATTTTATGAATGCTGTGGTGGTGAGTGAATTTCCAGTAATATTTGATTGGATATAATTTTTAAAAAATGCAATTAATATATACTCAAGTACCAAATAAAACGTTTTGTTTTTCTTCTAGAACTTCAGGGAGATGATGCCACTTCTGGGAGCGTTTCGCATCTTAGTAATTGTTCTGATTGGTGCGCCCATTTCCTCTTTCCATTCATGACATCTGACATCTTTTTTTGTTATCCACTATTAATATTTGGAAAAACTAAACACTGTCCAGACCTATTTACTGGCAAATAATTTTATTGTATTTTTTTTTTTCAGTTGGAACAGATGTTGGATTTGCCATTTATAGAAGGTTCATTACCCACGAGGCTGGCATGAAGGTAAGATGATTTTGAGACCATATATTGAACAGGCATTTATACCTGTATACCTAGCTACCATACTCAACAGGAATGCTGTAGACCAAGATAATAATCTTGTTAATATACTAGAAAGGTCCTTCATACTTGTTTTTTTTGATAGGTCTCCTTTGTGGCCCATATTGCCGGTGGGGTAGCAGGCATGACCATTGGTTATGTGTTTTTCACCAACTACAGTAAAGAGCTTCTGAAGGACCCACGCTTCTGGTTGTGCATTGTGGGATACATCGCCTTCTTCTTTTTTGCTGTCATTTTCAACATCTTCTTGTCCCCAGCACCTGCATGAGGAGGATGTGTTTGTTGAAGTCATGCATCAGTTCACAATGGACAATCATAGCTGTTTAAAAGGAGCTGGGGCCTGTTTCATAAAACTAGTTTACCAAATAAGCCAGGCTTACTTCAGTTAGTCTGACATATTGTCAGTTGATTTGGTTCAAAATAAGTCAGACTAACTGAAATATGCCTGGCTTATTTGGTAAACTTGTTTTATGAAACAGGCCTCAGATCTCAGGTCAATGTCAGAAAATCCTGTTGGTTTTTAAAGACTCTTAAGGTCGTATGCTAATACACTACATGCATATCTAAAGTAAATAAATGTAATTTTCAGACAGACTTATACAATTCTGTAATTCATATCCAAATATTATTTTGGTTTTGTTTAAACACTTACTCAGTTAATGTTGTTTCTCAGGAACAAAGACAAGTTTAATATTTGATTGTTTATACATATTTGGTGGGACCATTTATTTTATATTCACAAAATTATTGAGCCCTTTCCAGAGTAGTTTACAACTTGCTGACATTTTATAAAACTCAATTTACCTACATTTTAAATGCATTTCTAATTTTTTTGACTATTTGAGATGTCATCATAATACCAGTAGAGGGCAACACTGATCAATATGTAGACAGACCTCAACCTGAGGTCATAACAACATAGTTTAATTGCGGTGTTGCATAAGTTATAGACCTGTAATCAATAGAAAATTGTGTCATATCAATGAGAATAATATGCATCCACAGTTACCTTGGATATTTATCCTTGATTATCAATTCATTAAGATTCAGATATGGGTTTAAGTTTGGACATGTGGTGGCAACTTGGAGAATCGTGTCATTTTTAAAAATAGTTTACAAACATTTTAAAACCAATGTGTCCATATGGGTATATTTCATTTATCAGTAGTATTTATGTGTTTAACATATAGTTGTTTTATGAACTGGTTAATGAATTTGGGTGTGAAGTAAATGCTGTGCTATGCTAAACCACGGTGAAGTGAGTTTACATCGGAAAGCATCCCACAACAACTGCTGTCCTCTGTCCCTCTGTTCCCTCTGTTCTAATTAGCTGATGGTAGTTCTCCCAAACAGATCATTGATTGCTGGCCAATATGCATACAGTGTTCTTGCCAGTCTAAACCGAACATCCAGGTATTTTCAGTTCACGAAAAATCAATTTGAACTGTTTTTATTACAAATGAGTTACTGTGATATTTATGGCGCTTCAATATTAACTGAGGTCCTTTGTAATTATACAGTGCGTTTGCTGCAGGGAAAGCTTGTTAAAATAACTTACAAACCCCTATTCAGTTTGTTCTTCTTAATTTAACAAACAAACTCCAGCCACATAGCACAAAATAGTTCACTGATCGTTCAAGCATGATATCATAAAGCGATCTTATTATATACTTATGCTAGTCCTGACCCTTGCTGCACAATAAACGGAATATCTGTGATATTAAGTATTCAGTGCATGTCTCTGAAATTTACAGAAATATCCTACACTTAGTGTGTGACCTGTAAGTCCTCAAAGGGCATTTAAGGATGAGAAGAGGGGCTTTTGCTGTGAGGCTGATTTTCCACTTTACTGACCAATCACATCAGTTAGGCAAATTTATGACTGTAGCAGAACTTTAACAAAGTACAAACAAAAATTTGAGTTGTGAATCAAATCAATGTGTGAGGCTCCCACCCCTGGAATAATATGTATTAATCTAATTCTGGCCTATTTTTAGAGCTTAATTGACTGGGGCTGTGTTTTCAACTAAATGTTCATCAAAAGTTCAGTTCTTTGACCCCGAGTAACACAGAAATGTGATCAGTCACCACCATCACCACATTCCCCTGCTGCCCATGCCTCCCACAACCAGATACTTCGTTCCAATCTATTGTTAGATGCAGAAATACATACACATAATCTACACTACCCGAGTAAGGATGCATTCAATTGATCTAAAGCGATAGTAAATATTTTTACAGTTTTACAAACAAATAATTGCTATTCTTTTAAACTTTCTATTTATCAAAAAAACAAAACAAAAACAGCTGTTTTCATCACTGATAATAAGAAATGTTTCTTGACTACCAAGTAATGCCGAGTAATGGCTGCTGAAAAATCAGTTTTGCCATCACCGCAATAAGGCAAGGCAAGTTTATTTATATAGCATAGCACATTTCATACACAATGGTAATTCAAAGTGCTTTACATAAAAGAAAGTAAAATAATCATAAAAAAATAATCACAACAATAAAACAAGGAATTTAAAAACTTAAAATGAATTTAAAACAATTAAAAACAGAAAATGATTATACATAAAATACAGTGCAATCAGTTCGGACGGCGCACAGTGCTCATTCAATAAATGCACAGCTAAACAGATTAGTTTTGAGTCTAGATTTAAATGTTCTAATGTTCTCTGATCTCTTCTGGAAGCTGGTTCCAACTGTGGGCGGCATAATAGCTAAAAGCGGACTCCCCTTGTTTTGTGTGAACCCTTGGTATTTCTAACTGACACAACAAACTGACACTTAATATAATAATTTAATGTAAAATAAAGTAATTATATACATTAATCACTATAACATATTAATTTAATTAATATTTTAATAACTTAAAATAATTTAACTACATAAAATATATTATATAAATAACAGTTTTTTAAATTGTAATACTATTTCTTAATATTACTGTTTTTACAGTATTTATAATCAAATGCAGCCTTGGTGATCATAAGAGACTTCTTTCAAAATCATAAAAAATCTTACAGACCTCAAACATTTAAAATGTATTGTATATTTAGCTTTTGTGCAAAATGGCCATTTTGTTGTCGCTGACCCCATCTACAATGGATGTGTTGACATAATGATATATAAATGGTATACGTATAGAATATAAATACTGAATTAGGCTCAGATTTAGGTTATCAGAAAAAAATTATTTAGGTTTAGGAGCAGACTAGAATGGTCTTAATAGAATGGAACTAATATTTTCATGGAATAGTTACATTCCCATCAGGGAGCATGCATTCAAGCCAACCTGACATGCTTCTTCTTTTCCCTTTTTTAAAAAATACCAAAGGTTTAATTTAGGTACTCATTAAAGTCATGTCTAGTCTGAATCATATTGTGTAATGAAGAGGCTCACTCACTACAGTAATTAGGGCTTGCCTGATATGCCCCTAAATAGATGTCGCAGGCCTCGGATGAAACCAACCAACTGCATAGTTAGTGAGCGTAATAGGGTTGCACCATTGATTTCTTTTAAATGGAATAAAATATCACCACAACTAGCAGAGACAACTTAATTACATTGGGCTGGACCCAGCAGAGTATGAAATCGGACATGACCGATTGATTGCTTCCCAAAGTATTGACTATTGAAAGTAGTGCCAACATGTGGCCAAATGCCATTAGAAAGCATTGCGCTTAGCTGTAAACACGTTCATGGAAAAGAATAAACGATCACTCTCAGCCTTTTGCTGTTTTATTCGATATTACAATAATAAAACAAGTCGTTGTTTTGTTTATATGTGCTTAAAAGAACCAACAGGCCTTCATTTCTCTGTACAAAACGTGGAAATCCACCAGTAGAGTTGTGCACATGCATTTAGTTCATCACACTTGGGCTATTTCTGCAATTCAGCAGAAAAATCATTCTGTAACGGGTGTTAACTAGCAATCAAACATGCAAGACCGATTAAGAAGGGGTGCATAAGAGCATGAAGAGGCCACCAAGTGTATCCGAGCCTTACATTCATACAGAAGGGGGCTTTATAATTCCACAATGTTTTATTTACGCATGGCATACACTGGCAGAGTTGGCAAGCTGAATCAATCCAGTGTTCACTTCATATTAATAGTGGAGTACTGGTTATTGACGCACTGAGATACAAAAGCAGTGCGCTTGCCAACAGACCCCTGCGTATTCAGAAACCCTCTTTTGGTGCCAACAGAGAGGAAAGAAGGGGTCACAAAAGTTCAGGTGATGTGCTGCGTCAGATGTGCAGGTCACCAACGATTTTTTTATATTTTGGCAGCCTCGTCGCGCTTGTATGACCCGCGGGGATATAAAGCACCGGCAGTCTGTCCATACTGCTGTAAGGTAAATGGCATCGGCTAGCGCATTGATTTCTCCTGCATGACTATAAGTTGGCAGCAAGAAGACCTGTTTGTTTTGTGTTAAGTCGAGACCTTTAACAATGATCAGGATGGCATGAGTCTTTTAGTACTTAATGTGCATAGGCTGGAGTAGCTTTTGAGTTACCATGAGGATTTACTTCATTTTCTCCTTATTTGTTTAAGGTATGTTGGTGTTTTACAGTTTATTTATCTATGTTTACTTTTAACAATAGACCATCTACACATCAACACAGCATTACACTGACAGATTGCATTTTGTAGCACTGCATGTTTTGTAAATTTATGCCTGATACTATATTTTGCCCTGGATCCAATTTTTTTTTTTTTTTACAATATATAAAAAAAAAAGTAAATATTTGAAAAAAAATTTTTTTATTCTAATTATACCTGAACTGGCTATACCATATTTGGGATTAATTGTAACAGTTAAAAAAAATGGAAAAACCTGAAATAACCCACATTAATCTACCATTATTCTGAATTTTGTTGGAGTGATTTAGTGTTTATGACTGAATTTTACCATATACCTGACTCTGCAATGCTTTGAAGCTTACAATTGAGGCTTTGTGATCTTTCATCTGTAGTTTTAGTCCGGCAACAAATTTTGTGTATCTTTATTGTATTACTTACTAGTTTTGAAAAAAGTTTATGTAGTGTATGCATTTATGTAACTATACTGGGTTACTCTAAAATGTTCTTAGTTTCTCTGGTAAAATGTTGATTTAAAATAAAAGTGACTGTAATGATGAAAGTGATAAAAGTCAATTAATAGTCTGGTACTCAATTTGGTTTTATTTTAATGCATTTTAATATTCAAATGCAACCACTAGTCCATTTTATTCTTTTGACATTCTTTTTTTCTTTCTAGAGGTTTTTAGATACAATTGAAAGAAAACTACCAAATACAAAATTGAGAAGAAAAGAAACAGGGGCGAACAAAGAAATATCTGGCAAAAAAAAAAATCTATAGATGGGACATTAAATTAGATTGCAAACATGTTTCTATTTCAAGGTTTATTATAGTAGCAGTGCAATGATGAATCATGTCTTTATTTATAATAAGAATAGGGACCAAAATTTGGTTGAAGGTTTCAGTTTTGGATCTTACAGATTCTATTTTTGCATATTGCAGTGTGTTGTTAGCAGATTAAGTTTATCGAAAGCTTTGATTTGTCTTTCTTGAGTAAAATTATTCTATTTTGTTTTAGTCAGTGCAAAGAGTAAGAATATTTATTGGTGTTTGGATATAGCTAGTGTAGTCAAGTCTCTAAGTAACGCAGATGTTGAGGCCAAGGATCTCTGGTAGCCTACTCAAAAGTGAGCATGCTGAACATATTGACTGAGCCCCACCATAGTCCATTTTCATGACTCTTGCTCCATGTTTACTCTCTTTACAGACACAAAAATGCCAGAGTAAAGATGGGAGACTGGAACTTTCTTGGTGGGATTTTAGAGGAGGTGCATATCCACTCCACCATAGTAGGGAAAATCTGGCTGACCATCCTCTTCATCTTCCGCATGCTGGTGCTTGGTGTGGCGGCGGAGGATGTGTGGAACGACGAACAGGCTGACTTTATCTGCAACACCGAGCAGCCTGGTTGCCGCAACGTGTGCTATGACAAAGCCTTCCCCATTTCCCTCATCCGTTACTGGGTGCTGCAGGTCATTTTTGTTTCTTCCCCCTCGCTGGTGTACATGGGCCATGCTCTCTACCGCCTCCGAGCCCTCGAAAAAGAACGTCAGTGCAAAAAAATGGCTCTGAGACGTGAACTGGAGGCTGTGGACATAGAGATGGCGGAGGTGCGGCGCAAAATAGAACGTGAGCTTCGGCAGATCGACCAGGGGAAGCTAAACAAAGCTCCCTTGAGGGGGTCTCTTCTGCGCACCTACGTGGCTCACATAGTTACCCGCTCGGCCGTAGAGGTGGGTTTCATGACCGGACAATATGTTCTGTATGGGTTTCAACTAAATCCGCTTTACAAATGTGAGCGGGAGCCCTGTCCGAATGCGGTGGATTGCTTTATATCTCGACCCACTGAGAAAAGCGTCTTCATGGTGTTCATGCAATGCATAGCTGCCATCTCATTGTTTCTCAACATCCTGGAGATCATGCACCTGGGCTACAAGAAGCTTAAAAAGGTCATCTTGAACTACTACCCACAGCTGAGGGATGATCTCGATGACAGCTACTATCCAAACAAGCTGAAGAAAGATTCCGTGGTGCATCAGACATGCATTGGCACCTCCACTGGCCGCAAGGCCACCATTGCTTCAGCACCCAGTGGATACAACCTTCTTCTCGAGAGACCACCCGATGGAACCGCCTACCCTCCTTTGATCAACCCATCCTCTGCTTTCTTGCCCGTTCAGAGTGATATGCAAACCAAAGATGGTTCTGATGCACCAAAGTACTCACAGAACAGTCCCACAGAGCACAACAGCAATTCCAACAACACCAGCAGTGATATGCGTTCACCACCTTGCAACTCTGTCACGCCGCCAAAGCAAGATGAAGGGGAAGATTCTATCCACCCTCCACCACTGTTCAAGAAAGGCCAGGAGTCTAAGACTTCAGACTCATCGAGCCACCCCAGGGAATCTTCTCACACATCATCCGGCGTGGGAAAGAAGCCATGGAAGGTCAGCGCACCCTGGAACTGCTCAACGGTCGTAGAAGGTAATGGCTCAGACACTGATTCCTTGGAAGGTGCTAAGGCCCGCTGTCCCTACACCGCTGTGCGAGCTCGTACTTCATCCAGGTCTGATTCCAAAATGAGCAGGCCCACTTCTCCTGATTCAATAGAAGAATCCAGCTCGGAGTCACGGCATAGTCCACGAGCATCACCGAGCCATCGCACCTCACTGGCCAGCAGTTCCAGTAGCAGACGAGCAGCTCCTACAGACCTACAGATATGAGAAAAACTCAATATAGGCATTCACTATTGATGGTAGCCATGTTATTTCTACAGTTACAGTATATTGATGGAAAATCACAGTAAAAGGATTATCTACAACTTTGATGTCAGCACACAAGCAATCTCAGACTAAAGTTTTATATTCAACTCTATAAAGTTGTGGCACTCCTTAATGGATTGTTTGCGCTCTCTTTTTACATATCAATTTAGCAGTACACACTGACAGTATATTTCATTAACAATAGTAGTATGACTACACTAGAGAGATTGTATGTATGATTATGTATGCCTTATTCTCATCTGGACATTTCTCTTTTTGAGTGCTTCCTGCATCAGAAGTCAAAATGATGTAATGGTAAAAAATAAAAATTAAAACACATTGTGGTGTAATACAGCAACTGTAAAAATCTTCAAAAATATGATGTTGTTTTATTGTTGTTTTGTGCATATGTCATATTAACAGGTAATAAACTGGTTTGATTTATAATGCAATTAAACCAGATATCGAATCGTTATTTAAGTCTGTCTTTTCTAAGCATATGGACCAGCATTTCTAAATTAGGAATCTAAGAAAGATTAAACAAGTTGAATAAATAAATTTTTCTAGCTGACTCATATTAATATTAGTATTATGATGAGAAAAGCTGGTTTAGAACCTTAATGGTAAAGTAGCTGCTACTGTTAGTACCAAAGTTGTAAGTACCAAAATAAGCAACAGTTTCTTCCCACAGGCTTGAAATGAACTTATTACACCACAGAATTCAAATGTTATTACTTTCTGTATTATTATGGTTTTGTACTTTTTTGTATGTTGTATGTTGTCTGTTGCTGTTATTGTCACCGCTTCATGTCATAGCATATGGCACTAAAGAAAGTAGCCTATCTTTAGGAAACTATTCTTGCTCTTGTCTTACACTTGATTGTAAAGAGAAGAATCACAGAGAAGAAGGAAGCTGTTACCTCACATTAAAAGAGGACAGACAGAGCCATTTGAAAATTGTTCTTATTATTTTAACAACACAGTCCAGTGTATTAATAATACAGTTCAAAATATTTTAAGTGCTCACAGCACCATCTACTGGACTACAAAGCCTATAGCTACATATTTTGAATCCTCACACAAAATATACTTTATATTCTGACTTGAAATATTAGCAATTAAATGCTACTCTAATTTGAGTGTTAGTAACTGGATATACTTCCTGGCTGTTTCTGAAAAGGAAAGCATGAATGAATAACAAAACACAATCCACGTGTCATCCAAACTACAAAACAGTTGTTCAGATGAACCTGTCTTGTAAGACAGTTGTACATTCCTATTCAGCTTTTGAATGGAAAGCTTTTATTATTATCATTTCAAGAAATCTGAATTAAGATCTAATCCTTTATACTTTCTTTGGTGGTGTCCTAACCACAAAAATATTGTCTTCCCAACATAATTAAATGTATCTTTTAAATTTATATTTTTTCAATTTAATTGACCTGTGCTCCCAAATGCTAAAGTTCAACAGTTTTGTAATCTGATTATTCAGTACAACTGCGCATATACTGTAGTAAAACTAACAATAACAACATTGGCTTTATTCTGCCATATGACGCATTGGTCAGTCACTGTTGTTATTGTCTGAAGGCCTAACCTTTAATCAGCCTGCCGTTTAACTGGTACACATATGAGTTATGTGTGGCATCATTTTCATTATTACATTAAACAACAGACTATTTCGAAATTTTGATGTCTAAAAACAGTCCAAATTGCTGATTACTGTCTTGATGTCATATGAACATATTTACATGGTAAATAGATATGACCAGAGCATAACAAATGACCAGAGATGTTAATTCCAGTTTACCCATCTGAAAGATTATGCCTGTGTTGTCATAAAAATATCATAATAGGCTACATGTACAACTACCATATGGCATGCATAGCCTAATGTTAAAATGGTATAATAACCAATGTATTAAATATTAAGTTAATAATAAATAATACATAGAATTAAATCAATCAATCAATGTTATTGTTTGCAACTTTCTATTTGGTATTTCAGATTAACAATTTTAACATCGTAGTTTTCCCAGTAGTTACTTTAACTTATTTATTTTTTTGTTTGTTTGTTTCTTTTTTTTTTTGAAAGAAAGGGCATACAGTTTGTTTCATATCTAAAAACAAAAACTGTGTGCCCACTTAGTTAGAAAATGGGATTAAACCACTGATCTATATAAATGACATCTCTATTATAGATCAGTGGATTAAACGTACATTTATAAACGAACATTCATAAACAACATTTAACATTTACCAACAAATCTTTATCAGCATTTCAAGGTAAAAGGTCGGAAAAAACATCCATTCACACAAATCCGTTTGTCAGGTGACCATCAGGCACATGACTTGGAACGTTCCACCCACATTTCAATAGCTTAGTAGAGTGACACTTTAGTTATCCAATCAGCGTACGAGTTACCCGGCGGCCATCCAATTACATTCGAGTGTCGTCCTTAAGTGGGCGTTTCATCGAGATGGGAAACACAAGAGACTGAAGATTTAAAGGAGAATCCATAATAAGTTTGCTCTCATCTATTTATACGATAACAAGGTTTTATGTTTGTTCACTGAGCATTAATTTCGTGCAGGTTGGATTACTAATAATCGGCCAGGTTATATTTTAAAGGGGTTGGGGAGGGGGTTAACATGTCGATCCAGTACGAGGCACCGCTGTCGGACAGCTACGGGGTGGCGGACTCGTTTCCCAAAGATTTCGGATATGGAGAAGAAGAAGGAGACATTGAGGACAGTCCTACTCCCTCTGACAGCAAACCGAGAATCCTGTTGATGGGATTGAGGAGGAGCGGAAAGTCCTCTATCCAGAAGGTAGGAGGAAGAGATGATATTTAGACCGTCTAACGTTAGGTTCTCCTCCCCCTTAGCACAGCGAGTTGGAACCGGGTCAGAGCCGCTCCAGGCTGCCTAACGTTAACTGTCACTGGGCACGGGCAAGATCACTACGCAGAGCCGTTACAGCCAACCTATTTCTTAAGCACTGGTGGATTTATGGAGTTGGATGCCATACAGGCCTAAATGCATCATACTCATTTAGCTGTCTAAGAAGGATATATGTAGCATATGCGTGCCATGTTAATGTTGTGAAAACGCACCCGGCACGTGATTTCTTATTCATATATTCATCTTTCACCACACCCTCTCAACACAGATTATGCAGATCATACGAACAGAAATGGTTGACTAGAAGACACTTTTCTGACTTTGAGAAGTAACTTAGTTCATTCTTGAGGACCATCTACTGTCTTTGTGCATCTTATAAACAAAGGCTATTCATTTCGTATAAATTGTCTAAGACATTTAAAGGGGTCATATGATGCGATTTCAATTGTTCCTTTCTCTTTGAAGTGATACAAGCTCTTGGTGCATAAAGAAGATCTGTAAAGTTGCAAAGACTAAAGTCTAAAATCCCAAGAGATATTCTTTATAAAAGTTAAGAGTCAACCACGCCTACCTAAAACGGCTCGTTCTAACACGCCCCCACATATCTACCTCACTATGTGGGAAGATTAGCATAACGCCGCCCAAATGTTCACGCAAAGAAAGAAGGCATAACTTTTATTCTCACTGTAGTATTGTTGCCGCT